TTTCCCACTTGTCTTAGTAAATGTGGTAAAAAAATTACTTTGCAAAGAGTACTCAAATCAGGTGCAAGGAAAATGTAAAAAAAATGTTTTCTTACATTTGATGGGTTAATAGAAATCAAGAGAGCATCACCTCATTCACTAAACTAAGACAAAATTCCCTTGCAAAGTGGACAGCCTATTTGCCTCTAGTAAACCAACCTTTCTGTTTCTCTGTAAATCTGTAGCTTTTTTAAATTTGAAGCTTAGTTGGGAATACAAAATGAAAGTATAACTAAAGGCAAAACTTTTTTTTTAGTTTTCGATAGAGTGGAGAGTGGAGATGGATTAGAACACCTTTAAGGTAGTAATTGCTACCTTTTACACCATTAGGGAGATTCACCCTCCCAAGTGAAGGTAAAAGGTAAAAGAAAATCTTAAATTTTGGGTTTTCCCCAGAACAGTAAGAGGGGGGATCTTCCAATAGCCACACTAGTTCTGCTGACCCATGGGCCTCAATAAATTTCCTTAATTTACAGAGAATTCCTCTCAGTTCCTTTTTTGGCTATGGGACAGGAATTGAAGATAAATCTCCCCAATGGGGCACAGAAGGCACAAAAAAGCTGACAGGGGTTAGAACCCTCCCTTACTCTATCCAAAATGAAAAAAAAGTTTTGCCTACAGTTCTAATTTAAGGAATCACAGTAAAAACTTTACCTAATGATGTCTATTTGACAAACAGTATCATATAGGTGGTATTATCATGGGGTCTGAAAAGACCTGCAATTGTGTATTGAGGCTCATACTATCAGAGAGATTAGACCGTACTGGAAAGCTCTTTTTGAAGGATATGATAATAAGAAACGATGGAAGCTGTATAAGCAATTTAACTCTATAAACCATTATCATTGTTATTGTAGCTGGTGAAATAATATTAGTTATCTGGCTTCTCCACATCTTAATGGCTCACATTGTGTAACGTTGTAATACAACTAGTTAAGAACCCACAATGTCCTAGAATTCATCCCTTCTGAGCCCACTGCCACATATCTCTTAGATTGTAAGCTCCAAGGAGCAGGGTCCTCCTAACCCTCTTGTATTGAACTGTATTGTTGCTGTATCGTCTCCCGTTATATTGTAAAGCTCTGAGCAAACTGTTGGCGCTATATAAATCCTGTATTATAATAATAATATACACGTATTTGTTATTGTTCTGTCCCCCATTGTAATGTACAGCGCTGAGCAAACTATTGGTGCTTTATAAATACTGTATAATAATAATAATAATAATAATATGTCAGTTTGACAGCTGAGGTCCTGACCTGTGTACCAGAGCTGCTATTGCATTGTAGCTAGTTGTGGTTCTCTGAGCAACTAATTACAATGTGTCTGTTTTATTTCCACAAGAAGTCCTCATGCACACGGAACGTTTTTACAGCTGCTGTTTTTGGCTATTGACGGTTTTTTTCTACAGCTAGTAAACCCCCCAGCATGTTATCCTATGTGTTCATGAACACATAGACTGTAATCAATGTTTTTTTGGCAGGGACGTTTTTTGCCTGGAAAAAAAAACCCAGGACTAGTGGGTTTCTAGAGTTTTTTAGCTGTAAAATCACTCAAACGCTAAAATATGCAAATGCGGGAAAACATCGCTACACACTAATGCAAAAACACTAAAAAAAAAAGCTGACATTCACAACTTTTTATTAACCTTCCTGGAGGTATTCCCGAGTGTAGCTCGGGGTAAAGTTTCAGCACCACAAGCGGTAACCCCGAGCTACACTCGGGAATACCTTGCAGTGCTGCTCCGGGATCTGTTCTTCATTTACCTTGTCCTGCGCTCCCGCGATGTCCCTCCTGCAGTGTCCCCTGTAATGGCCTCCGGCGGATGCCAGCATCTGTCTTCTGGGTTCCGTTCTCTGCGACGTCAGGACGTACGGGGGACGGAACTGGGGAAATTTGAAAATGGTAAAAGTGACATTCACTAAATTCACTAAAATCACATAGTAAAACATTACCGTATCAAACCATTTCACATACATTTTGTCCCTAATGCTTTGTCCTGTGCCCTGTCTGCATTTTTACTGTTCTTTCTGCCTGGAAACTGAGAAACATGTCCATGGCGTCCAAAAAGTGTCCCTTTAGGTCAAAAGTGGTTTTAGACCAGCTAGAGAACAACGATAGTAAATTAGAGTCACTTGCAGAATTGAGTGATAATAATTTGTGGGGAAATTTGTCATCAGATACTGAAAACGATTTTGCGACTTTGCTCAGTGATGTGCGAACTTGGCGCTATATTTCAAATTTCAGTGTTTTTGGTTTGATTATATTATTGAATTAAATTTATTATTATTATATTATTATGTTTTATGATTATTTATTATATTATAATTTTTGATTTTGTGTTTCAAATTTTAACATACCCGGGTTGTTTACTAGACTCTTGCTCGGACAGATTTTAGTGAGTTATTCCTAAAAATTACAGGCCTACAATAAAAAAAATACATATTTCCATGCAAAAAAAATTTACCACTTTGAGCACAGAAATATGGACATAATCAGACCGCTAGGGAGGTTAATTAAAAAAAATGTTTTCATTTTTTTTTAAATTAATTTCACCACACTTTTTACCAGAAACGTTTGTTAGGATAAATTAGACACATATACCTAATGCTTATTTTATTCAAAAGTTTTAAGAGTCAAATGGGAAAAATGGAGATTATTTTTTATTCACTTTTCCCTCTTTTTAACTTCTTTAAAATATATGGAAAAAGGAATATTTGTTGTAAGGCAATAGCACAGAGGAAACGCATAACCCCCAAAGCAATACAGGCCTCATTGCTATTTGGTATAACACAAGAAAACCAGGTACAGCTTCAACTTCAGGCTAAGTTCAGATGTGAGTCTAAACTGCAATGCCTCGGAAAAGCGTTCCATGTTCAGATAGCTTTTTTAGAGGCATCTGACAGGCAGCGAGGAGGTATTATGATGCCTCCTCAACACCTGTTTTAAACCTCTTAAATGCTGTACCACAGTGCTTCAACCATGTACATTGAGGCAACAGTGGGGATACATTTTGCTGCAGGCACGAAGCAATGTATTACAGCTGTGACATTGGGAACACCTCTGTCCACTGTTTTTGCAGCTTAAGAGGGGCACTAAAAATGTGGTTCAACTGCACATGTTTAATGACCCACCATCCACAAGTGTAAAAATGCCTACATTTTTGCTTGCAGCAAGACCTTATGTCTCTCTTCAAGAGCTAATCTTCCCATGTGACATACTTCTAAGTATGTCAGATGCCTGGTGGCTTGCTGCAATCTGCCATTCCTTCTGACAGCTCCTACATTGAAAGGGCACTTATACTTTTGCCTTCTTTCCCTTCCAGACCTGAAGTTATGCATCCGGCCAAACCTCCTTCCCTCTTCTGTAGTAATCTCCATCCTGAAGCCACTGCTTCATGCAATATTTACCTCTTTCTGTGCAATCCTCTTTGAATTGGCCATTCCTGATTCTATAGACCTCTATGGTGCCCTCTCACAAGGAAGGGTGGGATACCTTCATTTGGGGGGTAGTTCCAAAAAGGATAAGTTCACTAATGGATACTTTCATTCACTAATTCATTTAGCAAAAACCTATTTAGAAGTTTTAAAGAGAGTGCTGAATCACTGAGATCAAATCCTGTCCTCAAAGAGGTCATCACCACACTAGAGCCAATATGAGTGGAAAGCTGGCACTGCTAACAGGAACCTGCCCAAATACTAAATGTAATGTAGTATTAGGCAACTGTGGAAGCTGCAGAGGTGTGCTCTGCTCCAGACCTAGTACCACTAGTTTTGGAGGTCTACAATAGAAGCCTATAAGGCTGGATTGATGTCTTGCCAGATACAGCTACACTTATGGCTCCTTTGAACCTACAAATAATACAGGCGGTAATATACATATTTATATGAAAAAAGTCGTCCACTCAGACAATTATTATCATATATATACCCACTAAGAGTGAGATCTCTCCATTGGCAGAGCTACCAGGGTTGCAAAGGTCACACTAACGACTTGTCCCTGGCGTTTTGCCACCATGAGGGGCCCCAAGATGGCAGAAAGGGGGCCTATTGCAGAACATGTGATGTCCTGCTGCTGCACTAGTAAGCACTAGAGCTTAATAACAGGAAGGGTCCTGGGCTCAGAGGCAAGGGCCATAGGCTCAGAGAGAAAGGCCATGGGCTCAGGGGGAAGGGCTCTGGGCTTGGAGGGAAGGGTCTCAGGCAGGGGTGGACTGACAACTCATGGGGCCCCCGGGCAATAGGGGATCATGGGGCCCCTGTGTCCTTGCCCAAACTCAAAAAAGCCTATGAAAAAGGTACCAGGGGCATCTCATGGGGCCGCCTACTGACCCAGGGCCATTGGGCAGTGCCCGAGTTTCCAAATGGTCAGTCGCGAGGAAAGGGTCCTGGGACCAATGGATGAGGGCCCTGGGACAGATGGAATGGGCCCCAGAACCAGTGGAAAGAGACCTGGGACCAGTGGAAAGGGCCCTGGGAATGATGGAAAGGATCCATGGACAGGGTCAGGAGGGCCTTTCATGGTTTCTTGCACCAGGTTCTGACACTTCTTCAGTTACCTCTTTGGATCTCTCACATTTTATTAGAGTGTAACCGTGTGTTCCTCAATATGTCACATAAATGTGGTGCTGCACAGTATTTTGTGGACAGCAAAACAATTGGATTTGTAAATAGCACATAGTGTCTTTGTTGTGATTTTATGCATTTGTAGGCTTTTTTCCTGGGGTCAGTTGAGAACCATCAAATTTGTTTTTTGCCCCCTGAAAGTTATTGATAATTCATAATGTTGTGTATATGTAAACCCTACTACAATCTGAACAGCTGTAGACATGTTATTAAAAGAAGTAAGCAATTTGGATAGTTATACACCAACATTTGATGATTACATCTAGTGAATGTACTGTTGTTATAGCCAACAATTTCACCATCACTACATGTGGCTCCAATCATGTTCTTTATTGTAGAGGGAATAGTCCATCCTCAAGTCTTTCCCTTGATCCCTTTTCATCAAGAAGTGAACAGCTTGATCACAATGGGTTGCCTGGCACGAAACTACATTCCCAATCCTTTGTCTGTGGAATGGAACACAACTTCTGGGAATACACTGTCTGGAGAAAAGAATATTCAATTCCCCCTCTCTGGAGGTCCACCCCGATACAACTTGGTCAGCCTGATAACTGTCAGCAGTTTAGCGTGGGACAGAAATACTTACATTTGTGGCGTGAAACATTTTTCCAGCAGCATTCAGAGAACTATACCGAAAAGTAAGTAAACACTAATGTCTAGTCAAGTCTAACTTTGTGGTAAAATGTAAATGTATCATATGCTCACAAGAGAATAAACAGTATTTTACATATGAACACACACATAGTACAGGCTAGTACAAGTTATACTTGGGAGTATTTAAGCATGTACAGCTATTTTTGTAGAGTCTAACAAACACTTGTCTAGAGATGACATTGTGTCGTCAGATTAAAGCAGTATTCACATGGTTTCATGTTGGGTGCAGTGCATGTGCAGCATTTCTCTTCCCAAAACACACTAAGTTGCAGCACATACATGTCAACCACCCATACCACTTGGATTTCAGCTTGAAATGAATTTTCATGCAGACATATCACAGTTTGCTAAATGAAAATGGACCAGTGTGAATAGGCACTTAGACATAATTTTGAAGATTACTCTAGAAACCAGTCTTTATTACTGTTACTAAACCCATGCCCCTGAATTCACTATATCTGATCTTCCACAAAGCACAGAACACAGAAATGCAATTTTTTTTAGTAAATATAAACTGCTAAATACCTTTAATCATCAGAAGTATATAGCAGTCTTTTGACTTATATCGGTATCTGGCTGAGCACTGGTTAAACTTGTAGGAGGAGTTTTCATTCTCCTCTAACTGTCCTATGGGGCTGCATGACCTATGACTCTCTGTCTAGACAGTGTTGATTGACCCTATGCTGATCACATGCACTCTGCCAAGAAAAAAAAAACCCTCTCTAGCAATACACACCAAACAGAGCATGTGTAGACTTGCCACTGCTACTCTGTACTATGGAAGAGGGGAGAATTAGAGAAGACAGGATCAAACAGCCCTTATACGCAATGCAGTGGAATAACCCCTTAGGTTCCACACTGAGTATAACAAGCATGCTTTACTGCATATACAGACTGATTTTACTGTTGTGGGTTTAGTAACACTTTAAAACGACCAGAGCAATGGAGAAAGCACTCGACAACGGCTGGGAATGTCTGGGAACGGAGATGTCACCCATTAACTTCCCTGTCCTAGATGTTGTTGGCACTCCATATTCTCCCCCACTTCCATTGCTGGCTGACATAGGGAATCCAGAACATAGGACTGGAATGGAGCAGGCTGAAAAAAGTATATTCTTACACAGATTAGTTTCATAGATGTTAGGAGGTGGGAGGGGACATTTTTGAGACTACTTAGGTTTGGGCTGGAATTCTACTATCATTATTTGTGGTTGACACAATTTATTCAGGCAACTTTAATAAAAAAAAGTATTAATAAATGCTGTTTTTATACAGTATATTGGTGGTGGTGAGCTTCATTCTACTCACTTTTCTATGTTACTGTATCCTATAGGTTGTATTCCACCTCCCTTATCACCAACTGTCTACATCCTACAAGGATCCTGCTTTACAAACACCAATGGCCAAGTAGACCTGTCTTGCCAGGGATATAACTTAACCTCTAAGGATGCCACAATAAAATGGTTTGTCAATGAGAATCAGAGACCTCTTCCACAAGACTTACTTTACCTGAAGGATTCCAGCCAATTATATGCTTTACAAAGCACAGTGAGCATCACTCTGGGAGAGTGGAATAATGGTGCTCGCATTAAATGTCAAGTGACAGATACAAAAACAGGCAAATCTAGTGAGGCTACAGCCAGGAAATGTTCAGGTATGGAATCAGCTGTTTTGTTTACATTTGTATAAAATTTTGTACCTTAACCACTTGCCCTTTTGAGGATTTACCCCCCCCCCCCCCCCGCCCTTCCTGGCCAGGCCATTTTTTGCGTTTCAGTGCTGTGTTAATTTGACTGACAATTGCGCGATCATGCAGTGATGCACCCAAATGCAATTTATGTCCTTTTTTTCCACAAATAGTTTGTTCTTTTGTTAGTATTTGATTGCCTGTGTGTTTTTTATTTTTTGCGCTATAAAAAAAAAGCCCGACAATTTTGAGAAAAAAAAACAATTTTTTTTACTTTTTGCTATTAAACATGTCCAGTAAAAAAAATTTAAAAAAAATCTAATTTCATCATAAATTTAGGCCCAAATGTATTGTCCTACGTGTCTTTGCTAAAAAAATCCCAATACAAGTAAATTAATTGGTTTACGTGAAAGTTATAACATTTACAAATGGCGATATATATACTGGAAATTTCTTTTTAATTTTTTTTTTACTAGTAATGGCTGTAATCAGCGACTTATAGTGGGACTGAGGGACTGCGGTGGGCATTCTGACACTGGGGGGAACTGACTTGGTGTCACTGACATCAATACAGTGATCAGTGCTAATAGAGAGCACTGACACTGTACTAATGACAATGGGCAGGAAGGGGTTAACATGTGGGGCGATCAAAGGTTTAACTGTGTTTGACTACGTGTGCTGTGTTAGCGCTTCACTGTAAGCACACTGCTTTGCATGGCTGACAGGGGAGAGAACTGTTTTGTTTACAAACAGTTCTCCCACCCCTATCAGAGATGCCTGGCAATCACTGGGCACTGGTGAGTAATCAGCGGATGGGACCCGGTGATTGACAGCCGCGGCCGCGAATGCTGGCAAGGGTAGGGCGCACACGCGCCTCGTGTGCGCCCCCTACCCAGAAATGCAAAATCTCGTGTATATATACATGATTTTGCACACCCGTGCTGCCCTGTTGCAGTACTTCTGCTATAGGGTGGACAGAAAGTGGTTAAACAGCACCAGTAGATGATGATTATCAACACTGCCAGGTTTATTTGCTGTGTGTTCTCATCAGGGGAGTCTTCCAATGGGAACTCTTGTTGGAGGAACACTGTCTAAGGAAGGCTTTCCCCTTCTTTGGAGAAATTTCTTTTCACTTCCTGATGTGTCTATAGAACATGAATATTGATGTAGTTCTCCCCCAGTGGGACATAGGCATCAAAAGCCTGAAGGGGGTACTAACCCTTCTCTTCTCTACTCAAAAATTCTGAAAACATTTTGGCTTTATTCTCCCTGTTTTAAACAATGATTAATTAGAACAAGATAGATTCTCTGGGCAGTACATAAGCATATGCTTCATTTAGTTTGATCAGCAATATAACCAGCATAACTATTCTTCTATATCGCACTAAGCATCAAGATAAAAATGAGATGGTTGTGGTGATTAGTAGTAATAGGATATCATTACAGCACAAAATATATACCACCATCATACCTATTTAAATGCCAGAAAACAAAATGTGCAGGCATGTATAAAAGAACAAATAACGATTTTAAACCATATATTATTTCTAACCCTAAAACTGTATTTTCCATGTATGCGCGTGATTCAGCAAAAGTCATGTTCTTTAACATCTAATCGGTGGGCATTTATTTACAGACCTGCATTACTCAGAAGCCCCATCTTCTTTTCCAGGGGTTATTACCTTCTATGCAGTAATGGTATTTACAATAAAAGTCTCGTTCTTGGTTAGATTCTTTGTGATATGTGACTTATGAACTTTTAAGCTGAAGTCAAGATTTTGGTACATTTTACATAGTTCGCTTGGGCCTAAACAAACTATGTCCTTCACTAACATGGGAGGCCGCTGGATGTGCTGTATAAACTGTCTGTAGCGGAGGTACATACAACATATAGCACCGTGTTCCACGTGAGAACCGAGACCTTCCCTGTCTTATACCCGGAACACAATAGAGTCTGTCTGAGAGCCACTCATAAAAAGTGATGTATTCTATCAATGAATACAAAGCTTCCTCTGACTGGCTGAGTCAGTGGTTGTGAAATCATCAGCCCTCCCCTCTGACTCAGCCAATCAGAGAAAGCTTTATATTCATTGACAGAATATATCACTTGCTATGAGTGGCTAAACATCATTCAGACAAACTCTATTGTGTTCTGACTGTGAGACGGGAAGGTCTCAACTTGTACCCGAAACACGGTGCTATATGCTGTATGTAGCCTCAGCTACGTACAGTTTATACAGCACATCCAGCGGCCTCCCATGTTAGTGAGGGACATAGTTCGGTATTTTTAGTGAGGGACATAGATCGTTTTTTTAGTGAGGGACATAGTTCGGTTTCTGAGTGAGGGACATAGTTTGTTTTTTAGTGAGGGACATAGTTCAGTTTCTGAGTGAAGGACATAGTTTGTTTTTTAGTGAGGGACATAGTTCGTTTTTTTAGTGAGGGACATAGTTAGTTTTTTTAGTGAGGGACATACTTCAGTTTTTTAGTGAGGGACATAGTTAAATTTTTTAGTGAGGGACATAGTTCGTTTTTTTTAGTGAGGGACATAGTTCGTTTTTTTAGTGAGGGACATAGTTCGTTTTTTTAGTGAGGGACATAGTTAGTTTTTTTAGTGAGGGACATAGTTTGTTTTTTTAGTGAGGGACATAGTACGGTTTTTTAGTGAGGGATATAGTTTGTGTACTAAAAGGTGGAGTTCAGCTTTAACACTTTCCTACCCAGCTTATAGCAGATTGATGGCCGGGTGGGACACTCGCCATTGTGACTGGGCATCATATGACGTCCTGTCAAAATGCAGCGGTGCAATCTGTCACCGGCTGTGTCCATGGGACACAGCCGTTGACATATCACTACACTGGCCAGTGTCATGTGACCGCTAAGACCAATCACAGCAGATCGCATGTCAATTGTATACAATGGATGGCTGTATGGATGGATGATACAATTATGGTTTTAGCTGTGACTGGTCAAGGCAGTCACATGATACAGACAGGGCCAATCACAGCCCATCTGTATCATGTGATCAGCTTTGCCCAATCACAGCTAATCACAACAAAAGACTGAATGAATCAGTTTCATTCAGTAACAATGATTGCAAATATCAACGAAATACATTGATATTAGCAATCATAATGTGTTGAAAAAAAAAAATCCTGATCATTTGCCCAGAGTAGTTCAATGTTACTATGGTAACATTGTATTGCTTTGGTCACAGTGTGCTGACAAATAAAATAGTAAAAAAAAGAAAAAATGTAATAAAAAATTAAAAAATAGAAACATTTGAAAAAAAAATACAAATTCAATTATTATTATTGTCACCAAAGAAATGTAACAGAATACATTTTGATATACATTTATGAACAAATGCTATTTATTTGCAAAATTTTATAACAGAAACGAAGATGAGTGCATTTTTTTTTTTAAATTTCAGGGATTTTTTGTTTTATTTAGTAAAAAATAAAAACCTCAGTGGTGATTAAATACCGCCAAAAGAAAGCACTATTTGTGTGAAAAAAATTATAAAAATTTCATATGGGTGCAGTGTTGCATGACTGCACAATTGTCATTCAAAGTGTGACAGCAATGAAAGCTGAATATTGGCCTGGACAAGAAGACAATGCCAGCTGCACATTTGGGCATGATAACTTTGGATCTCATCAACTCTTTCCTTGTTCCCCTGGTTATATTATTCCTTTATGTTTTCCAGCAATACTCTTCTCTAGGTAGGGTTCACTGTTGTTGTTTCTTTTAATCAACAGATATTTCCAACTGTTTGGGAATCAAAGTGATAATGGTACCTCCCACTATTGAGAATCTCTATGTTCAAAAATATGCCCCTATAGCCTGTACGGCATACGACCTAAAACAGCCAAACGGTTGTACGTTTAATTTTACCTACCCTGGAGCTCCAGCCACATTGAAATTTCAAACTGAAGACCCCCAGCTGCACGAAAATGGCACTTACAGCATAACAAGTTACCTCACTGTGACCAATGAGATCTGGGAATCAAATAAAGAAATGACTTGCATTTTCAGTTCCCCAGGACTTACTGAACCAATCATTATAACTATCTCTAAGATAACAGGTAAGTGTGTAATATGCAATAAATCTAAGATATACTGTATATCCAAAATCATATGCATTTGTTTTTAAATGAGGAAACCAAAAAATTTTTTAAAGGACCATTAAATCAGTATTAAACCCAAAACAAACATTTATAATATTGCAGCTTTCTTTCTTTCATTTTCATTTGGTGATCCTGCCGGCAAGTCTGTTGTTTTTCAACAGAATAAGCTGTTCTGCAGATCTAGCAGGTAGAAACAAACCATTCACCACAGACAGGGGTGCTTCCAATGATCAGCTTTTATTTATTTATGTAAAACCTTTATCCCAAAAGAAACAAAACAGTTTGCTGCAACTGCTAATAAAGTGTAAGCTGGAAGTTGGCTTCAATTTGTTAGTGTATCTAAATCTACTACTGCATCTAACACTAGCTACCCCACAGACTGACAATGCTGCTGTCCAAAGGAGTCTCTGTGGCTCCTTCATCCAGAGTGGAGGCACCCTAAGTGCCAGTTCACACTACAAAAAACGCACTCCAGATGCATTCTGGATACTTTTTTGCTTACATTTCACACCGCACGCAGTTCTGGTGCAGTTTTGATGCAGCTTGCTATGTTCCAGTATGGTTCTGTGCAGAACAAAATGCAGTATGTTCTACTTTTTTTTCTGCACTGGAAACTGACTGGATCTGACTGCACTGGTGTGAACCAGTGCAATTGGAATACATGGAAAACACTGTGCATGCATTTTTGATGCAGAAAAAAAGCTCATTGAACTGCATCTTGTGTGAACTAGCCCTAATACAGTGAGTGTGTTTCTGGCCAGATCACCAGGTAACAACAGTGGAAAGAAGCCTACAAAAAGAAAACCACTGCAGCCATCACATCTAATAATTGATAAGCTCTAATAAATTACATTTTAGGTTTGGGATTTAATGATGAAATGAATGATAGGGAGTGTTGTGTTCTGGACTGTATACTTCTGACCCCTGCCCTGTGTATGTTACATATATCTAATCTTTACCCCTACACTCTGTACATTACATATACATGATCCCTGCACTCTGTAATTTACGTACACCTAGCACCTGCGCTCTGCACATTAAATACACCTGGCCCCCAGATTCTGTACATTACATACACCCAACCCGTGCAGTAAATACATCTGGCCTCTACACTTTGAACATTACATACTCCTGACACCCACTCCTGATCTGTATGTGGGCTCAAGTTTTAAGCATCATCCACTGTTAGAGCAATTTTGCCACACCTACAGTTCACTACAGCGCACTGTGCGCACTGACTAATTCTTCTCCCCTGCGTGCCCACAGCTGCCTCCAACTCTTATGAGAGAGTTGAATACCCCAGGCAAAAAAATAGCTTCCTATGCCAATACTAGAGGACACAAGATCAAATGAGATATCTATTAATATATTGAACCCCTACTGTGACAAATGTACCCAATTCTTCTTGAAATATACAGTCTTACTGTAAACACTTTTCCATTTGAAGACATAATAGTTGTCCCCCTGAGCTAACTGTGAAAGTAAGTCATAATGCAGTGACATTTCCTTGCATAATGTATGCCAGGAACCTACTTTCCTTGCTGTGTCCACCTGCGGTATTTGCTTCTGTTCCTTATGCCCTTCCTTTCCTGCAGACCTGTCATGCTTTCTTTTCTACAGGCCCTTTTCTGTGTCCTGGTGCAAGCAGACTCTGTCCTATTTATCTGTTCAGGTGAGCTGTGCACGTGCAAGGCTGTGACTATGGGCACATCTCCTCATTGTCCTATACTCCTTTATAAGGACCCTCTCATCCATAGTATAGGTGCCCATTGTAGTTTTCAGTTTGCTGTCACTAGAGTGTGCGTCTGTGTGATCTAGATTTTACGTGTTCTTTTCTCATAATTAGACCAGCTTCTGTTGAACAGACAGCAGTACATTTTGTTACGTGTATATCCAGCCTTAGACTCCGTTCACACCTATGCAGTTTTGCTTTTTGTCCGTATGGCAGTGCTTTTTGCAGTTCGTTTTGCATTTTTCTATACACGTTTGTGCCGTGATTTTACCACGTTTTATTCAGCTTTTTTTTTTATTTAAAGTAGATAAAATAGATTCTCCATTTAACTCTATTGTAGCAAAAATGCTGCTTTATGCTTTTAAAAAAGTCCCTGACCCTTTCCAAAAATGCAGCAGCTCAAAAAAGCATAGACGATGAACATGTTCCATTGGAAACCATGTTAAATGGACTGTAGTGCGTTTCTGCAAAAAACACCAAAAAACTCATTGGTGTGAACGGAGCCTAACACTACCAACACCCTGGAATAACAATGCCTCTGTCCAAAGGTGTCCCTGTTGCTCCTTCTTTCAGAGTGGGGGCACTGGTCACATATATGCAGCCGTGTGGGCTTTGAATGGACTCCCGTGCTCCGTGACACGCAGAGAAGAAGTCCCTGCACTTCTTCTGAAAACGCAGCCCGCACGGAAACCTCGGTTCCCAGTGTGGTTGCGTTTTCCAGTACGGGCGGCGTTAAATTAGAACTAATGGCACCTGCCCGCGGGTCCACATTTCTCTGTGTGGGTGGTGTGGCTGCACAAAAATTCATGCGGATCCGCAGCGGCACCACCCGCACATACGTGAACCATTCCTTACACAAGAGGTATGCTACTGGCCAGATCACCAGGTGAAAACAAAAAACAAATCAATGCAACCCTCAGATCTAATTATTGTAAGCTGAAATATATTCAGTTTTTGATTTTGGGTTTAGTACCACTTTGAAAAAAAAGCATTTAGTGGTTTGATAATGTTAGAGAACTGCATTATTTTATGTTATGTATATCTCATAGAGTTCAGCTTAAAATGTATCTATTGTACCTTATTAAAATTTTCAATTCAATACAAATAATAAAAAAGAATTTCTGCTTTAAACATAGAGAAAAAAATGATATTACCAAGGATTGGACTATTCCCACCACCTCCTGAAGATATAGCTAAGGATGAGCTCTGTACGTTGACATGCGTTGTCTATGAGTTTTATCCTCGAGGCATCTACATGGGCTGGACAGAGGATGATAAGGAGAGCTTCATGGATCAACATGTTAACAGCGAGCCAAAATGGAACGATAGAAATGCGAGTTTTTCTGCAGTCAGTTTTCTGAGTGTTCCCTGCAGTGAATGGAAACAAGGCAAACGTTATGGATGCCTAGTGGGCCATGAAGCCATCGCGCTGAAATTTATCAGAAAAGAAATTGACATACATTCTGGTAAACCAGCAACGGTCAAAGTGTCTGTCGCCATGTCTGATACCACCATGTCTTGTTATTAGGAGTGTTGCATGCATAGTCCTTCGCTTTTCTCTTCCCTTAATTCCCTTAAAGGGAATGTCCACACTTCACTCCTTCCAAAAAATGTTTCCTTTTCTTTTTATTTGTATAACAAGCTAAAAAAAGCGTCTATGTGCTCCTCTGTCTGTAACATCTGTGTACTAGATTTGGTCTTCCCAAAAACCCAGGCTCTTCTAGAATGTACTTGTCAATGTGATTTTGCTGTGACAAAAATGTGAGGGCTGTATTTTGTAAATGGACTTATTCTGCAATAAATATTATAAAGATAAATCTCTCAGAAAGAGGCTTGCTGTCAGTACAGCTTTGCTTTATGATTATTTCATTTACAAAGCACTTTATTACTAATTAGGGTACGCTTTTGGCATTTCCTAATGTGTGTATCAACGTTAACTAACACAAAAAGTAATGTATGGTAATCCTAAGCAAATAATTATCTTTTTGCAACCAAGTGAAATGACAACTGAGCTATAATCTGATTACACCCCATGCACAATGGGCTCTGAGCTTGTGTGCGTCCAATCCCGGGATTATAGTGCACCTAGAAGACACAGGTTCAGTGTGAAGCCTGGCACAGTCATTGGCAGGTTGCAATATGCTGCGGCTGGACAGTGCTGAATGCTGTACTGAGTGGTACTGACATTAAGGGCCCCATGGCTTCAGGGACATCTGCTGCATACGCCCCTGACAACATATGGTGCTAAATGTGAGTACCACTCTACAGTCACAGTGCATTTCAGCCTGCCATAGATTTTACAGGCTGCAGGCAGTGGGGATGGACATGCACTTGTGTTTCCTGGATGCACTAAAACGCCGGGATGGACCGCACATGGACTAAATGCCTAATGTACATGTGGCCTTATTATGCACCACTGCCCTTGGCACTGATATTCAGTATACCAGTGGGAAATCTTTGTAGGGTGGGTGACCCAAACTGACATTTAACCAGTAGAGTGGTTATGGCTATTAGTATACAAAAAGACATTACTATGAGGAGCTAAGTGCTAAGGTGATTGTCAACCCTCACCTTGCAAAACAACCCATCAGTTTAAAACATAAATGAAAACATTTGTGTATAGATCTAAAAAACCTTATAAATACATTTTTCCCCTATTTTTTAATACGTTCTCACATACTCTCTGTTCTCAGCTTCATAAGAGCTATGGGAGGAGAAACAACAGTACACTCATCTTCCCAGTGAAAGGATGTGCTGGGGGGCGTGTCAGGACAAGTTTGGTCATTGGAGGAAAGCAGGCTGAGTTCCCAAACAGCTAGAGAACTGTCCTCTCTGTGCTCTCATGCCTAGTGTGGCCAGTTTTTAATAGGAAAGCAGAGGGACTGGCAGGAGCACCAGGGATTTCAAACAAAAGAATGAATACAAAGAACAGGATACCTTTTCATGCAAGTACATTGTACAGCAGGCACATATCAAGAATATGAAATGATGGGTTTA